GACGCGAGCGTGAACATCGTAAACTTTGGCGTGAAAATCGTAAACTTTGGCGTGATAGACCACCGTGATGTGAGCGTGACCTGATCGTGAAAATCGTAAACTTTGGCGTGATAATCACAAACTTTGGCGTGATGTGGCGTGACGACCATCCACGAGATCCAACAAGGTATAACCGGACCACTTGTGGTGTGAACATGTCTTCAAGTCCAGCGGTGTGAGAATGTAAGAAAAACTAGCCCCACACAGTCCTTAAAACCAAAGGCTGGGTACAACACGTCCAGCAGGTGTATAAAATCATATGAAACCAAAACATCACACAGTGTCAAGCAAAAGGCATGTCACACCAATGTGCTTGTGCAATTTTAAACGTTTGCCACTGAGGGTGCAGCCACGTAATATACATGTTTCACTATTTGACCTTCCTGTATCATATAATGCATGTGTGGGCAATACTGTGAAGAAATGTTTCAAAGAGTGGTCTTGTTTCAAGAGAGATGTTTGCATGCATGGCTTAAAAGCGCCAAAGACAGGCCATCAAAAACATGCACGCATGCATATATCGCACACATAATATTTGCACATACGACACGCAGGTCACACGGAGGGTGTTCTGATACTGCTCCCGAGACTTTCACTGCTGATCTTGAACTTGGAGGTTGATAGTGCCATGGCATCACAGGACAAAGCCAGGCAAGACCGACTACGAGAGCTTCTTGAACAGGCTTCGTTGAGGAGGATGAAAGCAGCATCACTTCCCAAAGAAACGGAAGAAGGAGACACTGATCTCAAAGTACATGGTATGTTCAAGCAGGTGAAGAATTTGTGTTTGTTTTTGGGTTCGTGCACACACGGCGTTCGCACAAACGTTTTATTGTTTGCAACTTCTTGACATGACTTAACCAGTTTCATGGCACTGTGTCGCACTCTGACATATCCCGGAAGGACCGCCTACTCTAGCAGACTATGATTCGCAGGGGACTACAATTCCAGCAGCAGATGATGAAGCCCGGGCAATGGCTCATCAGGCGATGGTCGAGCTGGCAGAAATGGAGAAACAGGCAGCGGCTGATGCAAAAAAGAAAGCGGCTGGAGAAGCAAAGAGCAGGCCAGTGGCCACACCAAGTCGAGTTGGTGAAGGGAATGAAGATCATGACCAACTTCTCAGGGCGGCGACTCTTCGTCTGGGGGATGAAGAACCGGAAGCCACAATGCCTGATTCAACATCTGGCGCAAGGCACAGGTTGAGGCGGATGAAGACGGAGAAATGCGCAGTAGTGGAGCAGGCTGCAGACCAGAGGAGGCCGGCAGCACCGAGAGGCCAACGCGATCCAGAAAGCAAAGAAGCAATGGTAAAGAAGACAGGTCCGAAGCGGGGCAAAGAGGACGAGAAGGATGATGATGAGGAATGCAAGGCAAAGGGAACGAAGAAGAACAGCAGGAAGGACAAGAAGTCAGAGATAGAAGAAGAATGCGAAGAAGTAGATCAGGAAGAGGAAGAAGTTGGACAGAAAAAAACGAAGGCAGAAAAGGCATCTGCAAGCAAGAAATCCAAGGAGGATACAAACACAAAGGAAGAGAAGAAGAACCAGAAAGTGGTCGCAGAACCTAAACGCGCAACGAAGAGGAAGCAGCGAGCCGAGGAGGAGCATGCAGAGGAAGATGCTGCCCAGAAAGAAAGAAAGCGTCCTGCACCGAAGAGGTCTGCAAAGAGGAGTGCCGGCCATCAGGAGGAGGACCAGAAGGATGCACCTGAGGCAACGGGTGCTGGTGGACTGCAACAGGGCGATAGCCAAGTCTCTCTTGGTGCTGTTCTCAACCGATCAGAGACAAGCGAAACCATTCCTGAAGATCCTTGGGGCCAAGTGGAGGAGTTTGAAAAGATGATGAAGGAGGCTGACGACCGCAAGAGCAGTAAAGCACCTGAAACAAACTCTAAGGAAAAGGAGGCTGAGAAGGACAAGGACGACTCTAAGGAAAAGAAAAGCAAAGGAAAGAAGGAAAAGGAGGAGATGAGTCCAGAGGAGCAACTCCGTGCCAAAGCCGGGCACGCGAGGAGGATGAGATTTTTCCGGTCTTTGACTAGTGAGAGCTCGCCAATGGAGGTACGACATTTGGCTGAGAAAGCAAGAGATGGAGGACGCCACTTGAATGCAATTAGCACTCCTTTAGTCACTCCTTTCCGCCCTAATACGTCAGTAACTATTAGATCGATAGATTTCAGTAATTGGTTTTCGTTGCCCATCTGGACAGGCGTTGAGAAGAGCCACAAGTTGGAGGCTTTGTACGAGCAATGGGTGGGGGCCAATGAGAAGTGGTCTGAATCGCAATTGGTTATCCGCATGCGGAACAGCAAGAAATTCAAGAAGGTGGGCGGCCGCCGTTGGATGACTGAGAAAGAGATCTTCAGCCGTTACGGTGAGGAGATTGGCCGAGAGATCATCAAGACAAAAGAGCACCCAAACAATGTGAATACTATGGTGAAGCAGCACTGGGAAATTGACAAACTGAAGCTGTACCTGTGCTGGGACCAGGAATACGAACAGGATGAAGAAGACCACTTGATCGAGATGATGTACGAGGGATTTGAAAAAGACATGGATGACTTTGACAAGAAGGAGAAGGACGAGCCAAAAAGGAAGAAGGCAAAACAGCAATCCTCATCTACATCATCATCGGATGATGAACCATCCGCGTCCAATGACTCATCGTCTGACGAGTCGGAAGAGTCATCGAGTTCATCATCAGCCTCTTCGGAAAGCACCAAAGCGAAGAAAAAGTCAAAAGGAAAGAAGACCAAGCGGTGCAATAAGAGCAAGAAAGCCAAGAAGGACAAGAAGTCAAAGAAAGCTCACAAGAGTTGCAAGAACAAGAGCAAAGGATCAAAGGAGAAGAAGAAACCTAAGCGAAATCAGGAGAAGACGGAGAAGGAGAGACAGAAAGAGAAGGAGAAGCAAAGGAAGGAAGAAGAGGCTCAAAAGAAGAAAGAAGAAGCAAAGCAAAAGCAGGAAATTCGTGGGAAGTGCAAGAAGGCTGAAGCTGTGGGCATGTATTAAGATTCATGACAAAGTACTACCGGTAGTATTCCTGTAAAACACACATCGATCTACAATGTATTTAAACGTGCGCAAATACGTGCATGCACAATGGATATATGAACAATGCAACCCTGCAACAGGCGTTCAACTCTTTGCAGCAATCCATCGCTGACATCACGAAGCGGGAAGCCAAAGCGGATGATTTGCTTCTTGATCGATTGGGAGGGTATTGGGAGGGTCCAATCCACGGAAAACTATCGTACTCTATTTTAATCAACGACCCCTTCACATGATTCGGGTTGAATTGGAAACTTGTCGATCAATGAAGTACAGGACTGGGAAACATATCAAAAAGACTTTATTCCATTACAATGAACCGTTTGGTCTCTCTTCATAGGGCCAAGAGTCGTGCTTGGCCTTCTCCTAGGTCAGAGGATGTGAAGAATGCCATCAAGAAGTGCCTCGCAAGCCACAAGCAAGATCTCAAGAAGCAGCGTTCCGAGATGGAGCCTTTGATTGATGAGGACAAGGCCTTTTTTTAGCTGCTCGATGTGACCCTGGGTCTGAAAACGTCTTCGATTTAAGAACATACATGCATGGGGTGAGTAGGATAGAGTAGGCCTGACCCTGGCCAGATTTGATGAAATGTCTGGAAAAACAACTCATCCAACAGAGTTGACATGAGCTCTGAAGTAGAACTTTGTGATTGACAAATCGAGCAAATCGATGCATCGTGATCCCTTGCTGCCAGGTGGACAAAATGGACACCGCCAGGGCGAAAGCTGAGCAAATGATCAAAAAATATAAGGATGACAAGTCTTGCAAGGTGTAGGACTAGTGTTTAGGCCTTGAGGCTGTAGCGAAGAGTGTTTGGAGTGAGAGTGGGGTGAACCTCTCACTTGTTGGCGCTTGAGCTTTTGACAAAATCCCGGGGTAGCACCGAGCTAAATAGGTCTCCAGGATGACCTATGCCTTTGAAGCTTGGAAGCCTGGGATGGGGTTTTAGGGATACGTGACATGCAAAAGGCATGCTGTCCACTCTGCCACTCGATGTTCCCACGCATTCAAAAAGGCTATATGGCACATCAATTAATCACAATTGGATCAATTCCATGGAATTCATATACGGCACTCAACATTTGGTTTGTTTCATTCTTTTGACTCCCCTTCCCACGCAGAAGCTGAGCGACGAGCTTTCCACACGGAGCAAATCGTCGACGATGTGGTTAGCGGGGTGGCATGGCACACATCAAAATGTGGATGAAATCTCTCACTAGTACAATCTATACATCCCCCGAAAGTCGACAACTTTGTAGGGCTAGGGCTAGTATATTGAATCATGAACGCACGTGAATGCAATTGACTTGTTTGTCCATCTTGGCAAGGTGAGCAGTATTCACCAGGCCATGAGAAGCATTAGATCTCATGTCAAGGAGATGACATGTTCTTTGTTTTGTGGATTAGTTAGGAAAACTCTTGAACCGTGCAACCTGGATTGATACCGTATGCGCTGCCAAACCAGGAGAGTGGTGAGCACGCAGCCCATCCTTGGAGCCGCAAATTGAATTCCTATTCAACTTTGAATGAAGCTCGTGACTTCACCCGATTCTGCAGGGTTCCAGTGGCAACTTGACATATTGGGTGGGTGGTTGGGTGGGTGTAAGCTGGAGGTTCAGCAATAGCTGTGCCGATTCATAGGGAAAATGTCTCAAACCGATGGACCCCCAATCTTCTTTTACCAATTAATCTAGTATCTTTTACGGATTCTGCGGGTTGACATTTTAGGCAACGAGTGCATGCAAGTGTTTGTGTGTGTGATTTCGCGCGCTAGGGCCTAACTTGTTATGCTCGTGTGTGCGCCGGCATGCGCGGGTTGTGGCTAAGGAGACTGTTTCAGTTGAAGCTCCCATCAAGAGGTCGCATGGCAAATCACAATGTTTGACCAATTTGGAGCTTCTTTGTCCGATGTCTATCGTCCACTACCTGTGGGAACACATCGGCGTGGATGTACCCCCTGCGAAAGTAGCAGAGTATTGGAGCCACAACCGCAAATTCAAGGTTCCATGGGCAGAAAACCACCCAGCAGGAGATTACCACATCCCATTGGCTTTGTACGGTGACTCTTGTCGAACACGGCAAGTTAGTTACCAACCGGCGAGGAAGGTGTTAGGCATATTTTTGTCCTGCCCGTTGTTTCGACCAAAAAGTGTGAGAGCCAGCCGATGGCTGGTGTTCTCCATAGAGGAGGACCAGCTTCAGGGAGACATCACGCTTGATCGGGTTCTGCTCTACATTGCTTGGGCATTAAACTGCCTGTTCACTGGCCGGTGGCCACGCTGTGACATGAAGGGTACTGAGTTCACCCACCACAAGGCGGAGCGTGCTGGCAAATGGATTTGTGGTCGACCTCTTGCGTTTGCTCTTACAGAGCTCCGGGGGGACTGGCTGTGGTTCAAGGGCCTTTTCAGGCTAAGGAGCAGTTGGAAGTCTGGAACAAATCAACCAGTTTGTTATATGTGCCCGGCTATGGCGAGGGGGGCTGATCGATACTATGATCTTGGGGAACAATCTGTGCTTTGGAGAAAGGAATACTCATCGGCGGAGTGGTTGCTTCACCAAATTCCCCGTCATCGTGCTTCTCCTCTACTAATGATTCGAGGATTTCACCAATCAATGCTCCGTTTTTGCACTATGCATGTGCTGAATCTGGGGCTGCTCTATGGTGCAAATGGATCATCCCTGATCCTTGTTTGCTGTGGTGTGTTTGACCCGCTTTGCATGTGTTCGTTTACACCGCGCGCCCATCAGGGATAGATCCAACACGCTAAGGATCACTTTGGTGGAGGATTCGTACTTCTTGCCGGCTGCGGGGCAGCATTCACTCCAAGCTCATCTTGATGCAGCGTACTCGGACTTCAGAGCCTTTTGTCGGACCAATAAGATCGCTTGCAGCCAGCCACCATTTACTGTGAAGTTGGCTTCTTGACTGTGTTGAATTGCGTGTGCATGTGTGTTGTCATGTGCTGTCGTTGCTGTACTGCGGAAGCATTTCGCAGGATCTGACTGGGTTGTTCATTGGTCATTGAGGTGATCAAGAATGGTCAAGAGATTATGCTCACTGCCAAAGCCTACAACAATAGAGTGATCTGTGCTTGGTTGGCAGCCACTTTGGAGAAGGCCCAACATGTTCCAGCTTGCGATGACCGAATTCCGACCATGTTTGTTGCAATGCTTCTTGCATGCATCGTCATGCGTGCCATACCCTGAGTTATGGTGCAAAAGTTTCTGGATCCCAGTTGTGCTCAGGAATGCCTTGTCGCGCTTCTTCTTGTTGTCAGAGGCGTATCCTCGCTTCCTGAATCTAGTCTACGTAATTTGTACTTGTTGCAGGTTAAAATAATACGCTACCAGTCAGTGTTTGCGATGATTTTCTGGTTTGCCAAGGACATGTGAGCAATCGAGAGCGTTGTACAACGAGGGTCGCCTCTTCTGCCGGACACACCTTCTCCTGAACAAGATGTCAACTGAGTATCACAGCTGCACTGGATGAAAATTGGTGTCGATGTTGTACGGGTGTCCCATCACTGTGGGGATACTATCAACATGAGGCGAGGAAAACCTCACTTCATCATCCGGCCAAAGATTCACGCTACTTGGCTCTGAACTGAATCTTCTGTGACATGATTGGTGTGCACGTGGTTCTATTGAGCATTTGGGGCGGCTCACATCAGATTCTGCAGGCCTACGGTCATGTGCTCAAGAATGTGCTAATCTACAGCTACTTCCATCAATTAATGTATGCAAGCATCCGTGCATTTAGTGTGTGTGTCTTTTCAAGTTTGTTTGTATGCTTGCACGCACGCGCTGTGTCTCACACACCAAAGCGGTTGCAGAAAATAAGGAACAAACAGCCGGTACGAACACTGCTTTATAGATGAGGATGGCATGGGATGGTTGCGCCGTTCACTGCCACAATTGTTTGTAATCCTAGCTTGCAGCTGCTGGAATGTATTGCAGTTTGTTGCAGTACGGCAAGAACCCTGGGGTGATTGCAAACTGCGTTCCAAGGCATGAGCTTAAGAGCCCACCCCTCACATCAGCGGAAACACGTTCTTCGTGTCACAAAGCTGCGCCTTTGGTCCTTGAAATGGAAGATTCGTGGGTTTCTTGGCTGAAAAATCGCTCTATAGGGTCACAACAAGATGTGCTTCATTGATGTGTTCACTTGTTGTGTTTTTTTTGGCTGCATGCTGAAAAACATCTCAGGTTGAACGCATCATCCCGAAAGCGGATTTGATTCATGCTCACTGCTCACTGTGAAAAGTGGCAGCGTGATGAGCGTGATGGGGTTCGTCAAAACGAACTACATGAAAAGTATCGTCGTTCTCGATATGACTATTCTTTGTTTAGCATTGGGAAGCCTAGGGTATATATAATAAAAAAGAAAGAAAGAAAGATAGATAGATATTGAACATGATTTAGGGCCGGATTACAGAAGTCAACAAGACTAGATTCCAGTAACCCTGGTGATGTTGAAATGAACTATATACTCTCCAAAACACAGCCGCTTCCTTTCACAGGATGGCACTGCAGTCATGAGTAATTGAGGAACTGACCTTGTAGATGAGAGTTGTATTTTTGTAGTTGTATGCTTGTCCGTGGCGTGGAATACTCCTACTGATCAATGTTACGATGTATTTTCCGTTACAGTACACTTCAACTATTTATGGTAGTGGAGTGACTATATTCAGTAATACAGAGGGTACTGAACACAAATACTTCAAAGTGCAAGTCCCTTCCAGCACCTCCCAGTTCGCCCCGAGAAAAAGCACTCGGGTGTGGTGGTATATGATGATATGCACCATTGTGTCAGCTCCCTACACTTGGATTTTGTTATATCAAAGCATGCCTACATATGCCTATACCAACTCTTCCTTGGATCGATATTTCTCTGTGATCCTGCAAGGTACACTCCGCTGGGTGACACTCGAACAGGTGCGCCTGCAAAGACTTGTAGTCCTGGAGGATCTTCTGCCTCAGCTGAAGGGAGGCACGTCAACTCTACATGGACAGCACAAGATTCATGGGGTGGCACATAGCTCTGAACTGTTCTATGAAGAAACTCCAGCCCTGAGTGTCTCTGTGATATCATTGACAGCTGAAGATGTGTTTAAGGGCATTTGTCCAAGCACATTCCACTTCCACACCTTCACCAGGAAAAGTGCTCAGTCGTCGTATTTAGATGCTGAAGGGCATGAATGTGTCTGTCACTTCCACTTCCACTTCCATCCAAGGGAGAAGTATAAAAAGGGAACCACACACCTCACCCGAACAGTCCTCCGTCCCTCCGGTCTGACCGGTCAGCATGAACCGCCCGAACACCGCGCTTGCGCTTGCGCGCGCTTCGAACCGCGCGGCGTGCTGCGAGCGATGTCGTAGTGCCGCTGCCCCACGATGGACGGGTCCAACATTCGGCTCGTGGAGTCCAGCGGATCCACGGCAGGATAGATGCCCAACCTCAGCGGCAGCTGTAAGCTGTGTACGTTTTGCCATATAGTATATGTTTCATGTCATAAAGCCGATAAAGCGACAAATAACAGTAGGAAGATGTATATGAAGTATCTTGAAATTTGCTTATGCACATCCAAGAGTATATCATACAGTATCCATCTTGTATAAACTCTTTTAACTTATATATGAGTGGGTCAGTCAGTAGCCTTGGTCGTGCCGTTTCCTCGCGTGGGGCCGAACATCGCTGACCCCACCACAGTGTGGCGGGGCGAAGGGTGGGTCCGAAGCTCGGTGGAGCTGGAACCAATGACTCCATGGCGGGCTCTCCATGGCGGTCGGGAAAGCTTCTCACTTCTCCCTCTTGGAGTCGCCCGGTTCCGCCTGTCTGTTGGTTCGCCCGGAGTCTTGGGGTCGCCCGATGTCCATCTACCACTCCATCTACCCATGGGTCCAAGGTGGAGAAGGTGTTCACTCACAGCGATGTTCAAAATGATGAGGACTGACTTGACACATCAACTCGACTGCGAAACGCAAATGATCCGAAAACATTCCACCAGAAGTTCCAAAAACCTCTGCAACTTGAACCCGCCCTCAGGATCCTCTTATCTTTTATCGAGCGTCTCTGCAATCTGGCGCGACAAGACAGTCGTGGCATCCAGGTGAGCGAAGGTGGTGGCAGGTGCCGGATCCGTCAAGTCATCCGCCGGCACGTAGACCGCCTCCCGCGGATGGCGTCACGTGCGGTCGAAAACGGAGAGGAGGTGCAGATGTCGCAGGTGTCGGATGAAACCTCGGTCGTGGATCTCTAGGCATCGATCTTCCACTCACTCGTTGGGGGGGCCAACCGATGCAAAGGGCACCAATCAAAGGAGGCTGATTCGTTGATGCCAGGGCCGATGTACCGGGCGACTTCCCGGCGTCATACAGCGTCCAGTGCACAATGGTGCTTATCAATGAACCTGCCAGAAAAAAATATCCCGCCCAGTGTCTCTCTATATAATAGTTATAATATATGTTATAATATTATTATGTATATAAGTATAAGATAGTATAAGTCGTTCTCAGTCAGACAACAACACCTGATCCAGAATCCGAGAGGTCCGGTGTGCAACCCAAAACGCAACAAAAGATGCCGCTTGAAGCAACGCACGAACTGGAAATGAGCAAAACAGGAACACAATATGAACAAATCTTCCATATCTTTCCACCGGACTAGGGCATAAAAAATCTAGCATGCCATAGCCATCGTTTGAATGCACCGTCCTGCTGCACCGTTCCCTCCGTTCCCTCTCCGTTCCCTCCGGCCCTCCGGTGCCAACGCCCCCCGCGACGAGGCCACCCGCCCCCTCCCGGACCTGGACGGAGGTGATCGAGCCCTTCTGGGTGGTGGTAATGCGCTCCTGCCGCTGCGGCGCGGAGGAGATGCGGCCAGTGGCTGCGGGAAAAAGCGGCAGCGTAAAGCAGCCAAGCAAAAGGCAGCGTGACATAGGAGAGCGGCTCGTTTCTTTTGGTTTGCATGGAAAAGTACAGTAGCTGTCACTGTAGACGATATACAGTATATATAATATATAGTTTGACTTGACTCTCCATGTAGCTTGACTCTCCAGGCAAGTCAACCGGTCCATGCAGGGGTCATGGCAAGTCATTTCTGTCCATCTAGGTCTTTGGATTCCATCCCATGCGCCGAAGACCAAGGTCCTGCAAAGAGGCCAAGTCTGTGGCCAAGGTCGGCTGGTAGCCTAAATCGTCGAGAAAACCAAAGGAAAACCGCGGGCCACGGACCATCTGGATGACTGGTGTTTCCACAGCGGCACACGGGCGGTTCTTGGCAAATTTGGTGTCCTGCTGGTACGTGATACACGTTCTATACACAAACGGACATGCACCTCTGAAGACCATTATACACACATTGTCTGGATTCTTCTCCAATGGAACAGGAATTGCATCCTGACCCTCCTGAAAAGCAACAATGGCTGAACATGATCCTGAATTTCCGGGGGGTCTCCATGATCCCCTAGTAAAATACACACCCATTGGCCCATACAACTTGATTCAGTATTTCCCAAGACTTGGCTGACTCGTCCAAAAACTGGCTCCAAGCTCTCATTGGATCGAACGTGAAGGTCGGCACGCATTGGAACATGGCTACACAATATGGGTTGAACTCATGCTACACCTCGGGTCGCGAGACTGACATGGAACAACCTGATGGCATCGACCTGACTCGCTTGCTCCACGTTCACCAGTGGCTTATGCGGGATCCGTCTAGGTCTAACCCAAGGCCGACGCGAACGTTTAACTCACTACGGAAGAGCAGAAAGGAACTAAGATGAACTAAGCGAACCATCCTGCGCATGGATCCCACTGAAAGACTTCCCCACCTCTTCCCACCATTTCTCAGCACACCTGCTGGGCGCAGGTTTGCATCCAATCACTTCCCAGTGGCCGACGGCACTTGGAATACGTCCCAGCAAGGCCGACACCTTGCAGCATCTCTGGCAAATTGGATCTGGGGCGGGTGGAGAGGATTGGAGAAGAGACCATGAGGGCAAAGGGTCTGGAGAACCGATCTGGAAGGTCTGGCGTGTGTCTGTTCGGAGACCTCCCTTTCTCCGCCCCGTTTCGGGGAAGACTGGTCCATTTCCCGGGACGCCTGCGATTCGGTCTCCCAATGCGCTATTCTATTACATTACACCCAAAAGGTCTTGGTCCGTTCTGAAGCAAAGAGCAAACTGTGCACAAGAGAAAGCACTTCCCAATACAAAGCACATCCCCAGTATCGCATGCAAGAAGAGCATGTTTACATGCACAAACTGGCTCTTGTGCCTCAGAGCCAGCTTGGGTGAAGCGGAAGATGTTATCGACAAAGAGCAGCACATCCTGTGTGTGTGGTGAAGGTCAGGACTTCGGCTGAGCGGACGAAACATGGTGGTCCAACAGTTGGGACGCCCAAGATCCAATTGTCACACGTGCACTATCAGTTGGAAGTCTCCCTCTTACACACTCCGCAGTCTCGTCTACTCTGCATGGGAGACTTCAACACGCTCAGGTCTCCTGATCCGAACCGTGCCACTCTCGCCGCATGCTCAGACCCCGAGCCGCGTCTCATCTCTCGGAGCCCCCGGAGGAATCTGTTTCGGCCCAAACGGAAAACGGCACGGGCCGTCGAGCTCGGGCTCTTCCAAGCGTTGCGGGCTCTTCCAAGACGACGACATCTCACGAGCGGCCTGTTTCGTCTCGCCCGTTCCCGCTGCGCCTGTCCCTCCTCATCACGGAAGTACTCGGCCACTGTCAGACCCGTCAAGGCCACCTCGGCGAACACATCGCGTCTCGGTTGATGGCCTGCCTAACGACTTCTGCTCGCAGTGGAACCGAACTCGGAAGCGATGGATATTTGTTGGCAGGTTCAAGTACTGTTGAACCTGGAGAAGAGAAACAACCTTGGTCTCCAACTGGGTGGCTAGTGGCTAGGTGCTTGTAGATCACGTCTTGATTGTTCAAGTTGGGAAGAAAGGCATTATATGTTCTGTGGGACAAGATGTACATCAAATCGTCCATGTTCCCAGTGTCTATATACATTGATCTCTGAAGATGTTGATCTCATGGGGCCAAACAACTCTTAACAACTCTTGAGTTGATGCAATGACTCTTTTGCAAAATAATGTCACCTGGATCTCCTGCAAGAAACCAAACGATGTGTCTGTGGCACTTGCAACTCCATGGGTTTCGTTGTGTCATTTCAACAAGTTCAAGAAAAATCACTTACAGTACACAGTACACCTGCTTCGCGAAAGCCGTACGCCACACACAAAACATGGTACTGCCAACACATAGTAAACATAGCACAACAAAGAGGGCACGATGCCTCGAAAACAATGATCCTCCCGCTGTCAAAATGAAGCCAATCTGAAAGAATGATCAAGGCACATTCCTAACACTCCACATCAAAATACAAACATCATTCAACTATGTTGACCCCTCTAAGAAATCAATGGTACTGTATATTATATATGTGATGCATGATTCTGATGGCTTGTCTGAAAGCGCACCGAGAGGCACGTGCTCGAGCACCTGGAGGCTCGTTCATCTGCCCGTAGACCAGTGCAGCCTGCTGGGGTGCAACAAGACGAAGACAAGCAAGCCATGTGCTATCATATTGTTTGGGTCTATCTTATTCCTACCAGTAACATCCAGCAACAGTGAATGATGGTTAGTGAAGGCCTTGTTCAAACCTTGTTCAAACATGGTATGGGCCATATTGCGAAATAACGAGAACTTCTTGTTTGGCTGAAAAAAAGGTCAGTTCGGACAGACCCAACAAAAAGCGTGTCATAACACGGGGAAGTGTGCCTGGGAAGGTGCATGGTGTGGTTTCTTGAACCGCTTTCAGATCCTGAAATGTGTTGGGGTGTTCCATTCCGAATCAGCATAGAAAACCAAACCGGTGAAGAACAAACACGAGGCACTGAAAGACCGTGTCCTTCGACATACGGGCTGACGTGTCTGCTCTTCCTTGCCCATGCTCCCAGACATGGGCAGAAAACAAAAAAAACACACACAAACCGCACATGGACATCAAACAAGGCGTGTGTGAAGCTGTTCTGCCATGTTCTGCCCCTGTGAACGCCTATCGGACTGACACGGTGAGTCACAAGTCCCACACAACCTGGGAGCCCGACATCTGTGACGGACGTAACCCAACAAGAACAACAACCCATCCCAAACCTTTCATGGACCATCCTTATACCTACCATGGACCATCCTGGATGTGACTGGATGAGATCCTGGGTGTGTCCTGGAGATCCAATAGAGTAGTGATGAGTAGTGGCCTGTAGTTGAGTCCGTCAGCGACGCTACAAGGAAAGGAGGCTCCTGGTGGTCATACAGTCACACCTGGTCACATGCACCAATGCTTCGTGGATTTGGCACCTTGTTTCGGCCCCTGTCGGCCATCCAAGGCCCCAAAACACAAGCCCTCCCCCGACGCTGGAACCCACCAGGTTCCGGTGGATCTGTTTCGGATGCCAGTTCGGTAGTGGCGGGGTGGGGCCCCGTGGATTTCTCTCACCCGGTCAGGTCGGTCAGGTGATCTGTCAAAGACCGAGACCAGTCACGAGCCAGGTGAGATAGCATGGATGTGTAGCTCAAATAGGGAGACCGACAGCGCCGCGTTCCGACCCTGGAAAAAGCTGAGCAGTCTACCCAGCCAGGGCTATATATCCAATGTGGAAACAAGCAGGCCTTTGAGCCAGGCGCCTTGTCCTTCTTGATGACCTGGGCGGACAAGGTATGGTACGCCCTGCTTGCGTTCTTCCGCATGTCTATTGGTGCTTTTGATAATTGAAGTAGCCTTTTGGATCTTTTTGGTATGTCAGCGGAACTTTGTACCAAGTGGACAACCATGCTCGAACATCTGATGGGTAAGCTAGGAAAAAACTACGGAAATCGTGCGACGTTGAGGGAACTTCACCAAATTTGACGGAATAACATGGAGCTTCACATGGAATCTGAATGAATTTGACAAAATCTCACGGAACTTCAAACAGCAGTTCTGATTTGTGAAGCTGTTGATGCATCTATTCTACAACGAAAAGCCAGTTCGCCAGGGTACACCACTTGCCATCATCTCGTGATACAAGTCGTTGCCCTCGCGAGTGCGCTCGCCTGACAGCCACGGCGTCGGGACTGGGCCTGCAGCTTTCAGGAAAATTGATCTGTACCCCTAGAAGTCCAAAGACTCTGCTTGGACCGATTGAAGTCAAGGATGTTCCTTTTTCAGGTCACCTAAAAATCCTTTGTTAAGTTGTCTTGGACTCCCAGGGTATCATCCAAAAAGACTTCAGAGAACCCAGACAATGACGGACTTTGGGGATCTTTGGGATTCCGTGTCCGTGTCCTTCCATTCCGTCTCCTTCCAACCCGTCTTCCATCTTCGGGTCCTTCGCCGCTGTCTACGTGTCGCCCCCTTTTTCTCCACGCGAGACTCCCCACTCTCCACCGAACCGGACATCCCACGCGACATCGGACATCGGACATCGTCCGGACTCCGCGGGTGAACTCATCCCGTCCGAGGCCTAAACAGAGGAAACCCGGTGTACAGCCAAGAAACTGGCCATGAATTGGCTTGGGGTCAAAAGCTCAATACATGTCAATACTTGTTTACAGTAAAAACAATACCAAAAAGGGCGGTTGTTTGCTTCTCGAGCATGGTCGTCAAAGGTTGCCGATCAAAATGGTTTTTCTGTGTCTATCTCCTAGTTGATCACCAAATCTGCTTTTGACCCGTGACCAACTCACCCGATGACGTTTGTCAGGCTGCCAAGGAACAACAGTGTACCATAACATGTTCTATCATAAAGCTCGCACCATGCTATGATGGAATCAACAAGCAACTGTTGAATTGCTCGAAGCTTGGTTTACCCCGAAGAATAACTTTAAATTATGTTCTTCACTCAAACAACTATGATTGCCCAACTGTAACATCAACTGGCCTCCTTGGAAAGCCAACTAACTCTACAGCATCACTGCACCCCCAGGGCTGTATGTCTTTGCCCAGCTTGCCGTGTCTGATTTCAGGGCTGACATTCGCAGAATCATCCAATCTCGGATATCAAGCTTCCCAAAACTCACATCACATGAAAAGCACGCGCCCTCGAAGAACAAAGCCGACCCATTTTTGTTTTCCATATCATTCCATGTTCAGGCCATTTGGGTGGAAAACTTGCAGAAAGAGCGGCCTGGATGGATAGCTGATCCAACCTGGAACAGAACACATGGCAAGCCGTATTGCCGATGCGACTTCCGCGCGGAACCGCACGCCTCGCTTTGCTCGACCAAGTCTGAAGACAGGGTGAGTCGATGCACGTGCTGGATCAAACCCTGGTAAATCCGGTGATCGAATGTAATTGAAGATCTCGGATCTGTCCAACAAAAACATACCCCGGGGCTATCACATCCACAAAGTATTCAGTTCCAAGACATTGAATTGCCACATGTCGCCAGCTCGTCAGTCGCTTCACCGGTTCATTGATGAACTCGACCGACGACGAAGGCGACGGTCCGACGGTGGAGCACGGTGGATCCGTGACCCCTCGTGGAACGCGGTGTCTCGGGCGAAGCGGTGGATCAACAAAGGTCTACCGAGGGCGGATCGCGAGGGCAAGCCTATTCATGGGATCATACGAGTTCATACATGGGATATCCATGGGATATACCTTGGGATAATACTGGGAGTTAATACTGGGATTAATAGGATAATATATGATAATATACCCTTGGGATATACTGGGAGATACCATGGGTTTTCTCCGAAAAGCAGCGGCAAAGGGCGATCGTCCTTTCGAAAGACGTCATGGTTTACGTCCTGGTGGATGGCACCACCCGGATCATGGGGCCGTTTTGCGGATGGTCGTCCTTGAGACGAGGCCATGGTCGTTCTAAGCAAAATGATTCCAGGAAGTCTATGTCAAACAATGGGTTCAAGTGACCTGTTACAGGCCTGTTCGTGACCGAACCAACCAGGATATCAAGGACGGTCACTTTGAAGAACCAGGTTAATAGAGGGAGCGATGTTCTACCAAATCATGGTGTTTTTTTGCATCATGGTGCATCGAACCTCACCCTGTGACGCCTGTCACTGCCTCACCAGCAGTTCTCAGCACGCGGAGCAACTGGAATTTTCACAGGTCCTGGCTCACCCTCAAGAGTTGTGGCCAAAGCACTCCAATCTGCCGCGTAAAGATTCTCAGCTTGTTTGCTTCCTGCCGCTCAGCGGGGAATTGTGTGGAATGGGAACCCCACAGACATGAGGAATCATATTGGAGTGTCCATGTTGAACATGAGTCTTCCCCCAACTTGCGCCAAGGCCAATCGGCCAGTAGTTGACTTGGGTTTGAGAACAGGACAAAACAAGCTCGCTCAAGATTTGAAGGCAAGCTCACAAACACAATCCCTTGAGATCTAAATAGTCTAAAATCTGACGCATTGAATGTGTCGAAACTTCGTGATCTTCCCGTCCGATTTGCAAGAACCTGGTGTGCCAAGGTGAACTGGTGCCTGAACTGGTGCAGAACTGGAGAGACCCATGACCCATCATCTGATCCCTCCATCGCGCAGTTAAACGGATTTGTTGACCAGTGCAAAAGTCTTGAGATACCCTCCCTCCAACAATCCTGGAAGTGCAGAAGTCCCTCCGAAGCCATCTACCAAGAGGGCGGATCCACTTCCATGTTTGTTGGGGGGAGGGTATGTCCAACAGGTCATCTCCGACTTGGATTTGGTGCATTCTCAGCCCGGGCCAATGAAATGTCGAGCATCTGACTTCATTCAAGAGCTCTTGCAGTGCAGCAGCCGAGGTTGATGCCAGTGCTTGCCTTGGCCACAATGGCATGGTGGTTTTGGGATTGGATTGGGCCCGCACCAACCAACTGTTTGCTTTCACGCAAATCGCCAACTTCTAGGATGAGCTATCAAATGCTTGATGAATAGTAGCGATGGCCTCCAACCTGCTTGCGATGGCCTCCACCGAGCGTCCGGATGCGATGGCCTCCGGCTACATCTGTCTCCTGACCTGGACGATCCGAGAATCGGGTCGAACCATCTGCCAAGGTGCACTTTCCGCCAATTCAGGGAAGGTCTCCGCAGAGATGGTGTTCCCACCTCGCTCCAATCCTCATCGTAGAGTCGGCACACCTGACAGACTGACGAGTCGGCACACTCATCCTGTGCAATTCGAGATCCCCACGAAGGAAATACACATACTGTACTCAAACCGCCCTAAACAGCCACACACATCCTGAATCATGAATCATGTTCCGTTGAGCTTTCCATTCCAGGCCTCCCGAATCCTGAGCTCTTGCAACAGCAGGCGAAAGGCGATTTGCGCCCATACTAGCGCTCTCAGCTTCCCCCAGTGTCGTTGCGCACGCGCGGCGTTCCGCTCGTGCGCCACGTGGCGTGGGCGCCACCGGCGCCAGGGCAACCGGACGCTCCCACTGTTCGGAGCAGGGAGGTCTCGCTGCCAAAGCGCTTCCAAGCCCTCGTAGCATGCTGAGCATTGCCCCATGGCTCAAAGCAAAGATCCTCAATGTAACAAATTCAATTCGCTTCGTTGCCCCGTTGAGGGTACCGACTTGGGGGTACCTATGCATAACCTTCCCTAGGAGCGCATCACGTGACCAAGATCAAGGACCCGCATGACGTTTGGAGATCGATCGTTTGTATAACAAGAACATTCCCCTAGACTTCCAAGGCCGTTAATAAAATGGTTGACCTGGTGTTTGTAGTGTAAAACCAGTTGATTCGGGATTCAGCCTATTAAATGAATGGTGGGCCAGGAAGCCTAGGGTTCTGTATCCTAGCAGCTCAATGTCTTTTGGCTGTCGTTTGGACCCATACGTCCCACGTCTCAGCACCCTTGTCCTCCATGAAGCCGAATTTCCGCACCCTGATCCTCCATAGAAGATACTGTACATGAGCATGTTCATCCAGTTTCCACTTAGCCTCTTGGCCTTTGCATGTTCGTTTCGCACAGATGTCCTTTCTTGGGACTCAAAGAATTATGCCTATGGTGGATCTGAACTTCTTGGATCTGACTTGAGCCGACCTCTCACTTCATGAAACAGCCGCGACTCATAATATGAAGACTGCGCGGCACGTGTGCCATCCGCACAGGTAGCTCAGACCGGCGCATCTGGCATCATCTGGCTTAGCTTTTGGACCTTTTCAAGTCCATTTGAGTTGTAGGAACCGCCTGAGTTGTACGGCCTCTACTTACAGTGCTTCAACGCCTTTCCAAATAATACATTGCCAACAAATTGTCAATTCATCTCCAAGCAGCCAACTTGAACGAAGAGTGCACCAGGTATACCCTTCAACCCAAAACAATGAAGACTATCCTGGGGGTGATGTCTTGCACTCCGTTTGGCTCTTGCCAGCTGTGTCCTTGCGTCTAAACAACCACAAACCTCCCAGCTGTTCCCAAACCTCTATCGTCTGTTGAGAAAATAATCGACCAAATAAATCCGCACCGTTTTCTGGATCTCTCGCACTTCCGAAAGTGGGTCGAACATGATTTCCTGACCCGTTCACGCCACACGACCAGTAGTTCCGAACGCTTGTGTGGTGTTCAAAGGAGCAGGCACAATAGGCAATAGGTTTCAGAATCAGCATGTGTCAGATATAGGGAAAACATAATTACACAAATATAATATATATATATATATTAAATATATTACATAATGACATGTATATATAATTTGATTATATATGATATATATTACTATATAATGAATGACATGTATATAATATGATTTGCATTCGTATGACGTCCCCCCCTCCACTCGCCAACCACTCCGGTTGCTTCTCTTCCCTCCCACATGTCACACGACCACCGTGCTGCGCCTACACCTGCGAAGACACTATAACCACCGTGCTTCAAGGCCTCGACTCGGAGACACTGGGCATCGATCCTCTTCCGGGACTGGAAGCCCCATATTTCTGATATGACCCCCAAGGTAGGTAACTATCTACTCTACTAAGGATGGTCTGGGAACTCTTCCATACCATTCTCAAGCTATCGGTGTGTACCTTCCCTGAAACGATCATGGACAGCCTGTTCATAGAGGAATTCAGTCCGAAATCGGAGCCATGTTCCACGTCGCCATGGATGGAGCAGTCTTTGAAATCACCGGCCCTCGCCCTCAGGGCCGGTCGGTTGCCGATTTCACCGAACCCCAAGGGGGTCGTGGCCCGCCGGAGGTTCGGTCGAGCCATGATGGACACCGGGTGAAAACGGACACCGAGGGGTTCGACGGGTTGGGAACCGGGTGGGTTGGGAATCACGGCTTCTCCCCGTCCACCAGAAGGATGTTGATTTGTCTGTGGAACATTGAGGATTTGTGTACAACCCAGACGCGACGCTTGGACCCTCAGTTCGCGGTCTGGGTTTGGACCCTCACAACTAGGGTTTTGGACCTCAAACATGTAGCAGTTTGAGGGTCAATGAGCGTCTGGGAAATTCATATAAATCCATTGGATACTCTTGAAAAGATCGATGCTGAACAGAACGTAGCGACTTCGCTTGCACTTAACATCCATGCCAGCGGAAACCATGCCAGCCGAGGCAATGATCTTTAAAAGGCATCTGGTCAGCTGACAGTCTACAGCTTTGCTGTGAAGTCTGGAACACAACCCAGGGCTCCCAGCAATGTTGTGGATGAGCTCCATGATCACCACCTCATGCTGAGTTCGTTGGCTGGCCCAACTCAAACGGGGCTCACCAATGGAAAGAACCCATGGACCCATGCATTCTTTCCAGAGATGATATAGGGCCTCATATATCTTATTTCGTACCACCCACTAAGAGTGTTTTTTTGAAGCGCCTTCCCCATCATCGTGGCTCAACCAATCAATACATGCTTTCCTTTTGGCGAAGTCGACCGGACGGTCGACCCCCGTGGCCCGGACCGTCTTCCCCACGCCGGCGCCACCGAAGAGGCCAATCTTACCGCCCTTGGCGTAGGGTGCCAAGAGGTCCACGACCTCGGACAAGAGAAAAGGGCTGCGTCCTCGGTATTTTGTTGGGGGGGATTGGAGCCCAAGAGTCCTGAGAGGAGTATAGATTGAGAAGATAGATGGCAAACATGTCCAAGTGATGAGCTGCAATGATGGAGACCCATCTTTCTTTAGACCTCTTGGAGACCCCGAAAGGGTGCTATCGAACCTCTGAACGCCACTTGGGCGTGGCCTCGGGTGCAACAGAATCTTCCAGGAAGTAGAGAGGCTTCAGTCTTCAGCCGCTGGAAGAAGTGTGGAAGAGCTGTTGGCGCAGAACTCAAGATTTGTTGTCTGTCGCTGCAAGTTTGTCCGGTAAGTAAGTAAATCTTGTACTTGGCATATGAAATATATAAGAATGTATTGTCAGCTATAATATTATAGTATACTCTTGAACCCCCGGATGAATTGCCAGAAAGTCGGATTGCGGAGAAGCACATCCACGAAGAATGGTAATTGATCCTAAACAATAAAAACTCGGAGGATTCGCAACCTCCCTGATCTTCTCGCTATGCCATTGTCAAGAATTCTGGTTCGAAAGGGTTCGGTTCGGAACCAGACCCGTGCGAAGGTGTCGGGTCCAACCCATGCCATGGAAGACCCAAGGATTCTTAGGGATACATTTAAAAAATTGCTGTACTAATGGTTCTTCATTCTTTATCATTCAAAAACCAGGTTGGGCTATATACAAACGTGTTGATTCATACCCTCATAGCCCGGCCCACATGGCTGGCCTTGATGCCCGTGAGCAACTGCTGTGCAGTGGTGTTCATCTCCGTGAAGGTTGGCGTGGGACGGTGGATGGCGTAGAACCTCGAGTTCAGCAAGTCTGCCCCGCTTCATGTCTCCGCGAGGGCACGCGGTCCGTGAACTCGAGGATTGGAGCGGAAGTCCCTTGGAAGTACCTTGTTATGTGGGTGTGCATTTTAATATGGAGACCCCCCACCGGTTGGTTCTAGTCTATTTCCGAACACTCCAGGGGGTCTGTGGGAGGTCTCCCTTTTAAAAGAACCCTTAGTTACCAGTCGAACCCCAAGAAGCTGATCCTGTCTGATGTTGTTGTTTTTGACAGTGTTTCGACACCAGGATTAGCATGGTCCGACAGGTCTCGCCCAAACCTCTGGCATTGCTGCAGACATTCTCTCCAGACATCTAGGCTTGTCTTGTAAACTTGTGTTTGTGGTTGTTAGTTACTATCGTTTAATCCGTGCACGAAGCATTTGATTGAACCATGACAACAGGGAAGCACTACGTGCTGGGCAAAGTCAGCCTATGCTTCAGGAAAAAACACATGGTTTTCGGATGTCTAGGGCTCCTGTAACCCGTATATGTTGGTTTGTTATCAGCGGTTTTAACACGCGTTCTCGTTTACAAGGAATCACCATACTTTGTCACAAAGCTCAATACCTTGTTCCTTCTCGTACATCTTTTCAACAGACTTATAGACCTGTAGTGGTTCTTTGGATTTGCTGCAGAGTCCAAAACGGGGAAAACTATAGCACATATTCCAAGAAAGGAATCCACCCCAAGAAAGAATCTGAGATCCCCTCCCAATGCAGCCACCATTACTAATATATTGAGCTGGTTTTGTCGTCTAAGCTCCGTAAACCACTGATTATATAGATATTTCAGGGGAAAAAACACAACATTACTGTAAATCAATGGTGGGCATCCGGAATCCGAAGCTCTTCGAACTCCTCATCTCCTGGGTATCCGGACTTCTTCGTCTCAATTGGGCCCAACTCGTCAATGGGCTCACCGATAATATTGATAATGCGCCCCAGCCTCAGAATTGGCTATCTCAGTCGGGGTTTTGTCGTCTCAAGACAGCGGTTTGGGATCCATGGATCTGTAGAATCATCACAAATACTCCAAAGATTGTGGAACATTTATATGTTGGGTATATGCCATGATCAGGGCGCAGTACTAACTGTTCTCAAACATAGTGATGATCGTTCACCGGCTGTTAAAGTTACTGGTAACAGTAATGGTACACAGACAGACACACACACACACACACACCCTGAACACCCTGAACATATTATATGTGAAGAAAGAAGAGGAAAGGGTGGCAAGGGTGCCTGTGTTTCAAGATGATCCATGTTGTTGCATGTTGCTCCACGGCTGTAAAATCTGTAAATCAATACTGTTGATCACGCTGATGGGTTGAAGAAGCTTTGAATTGAATAATGTCAAAAGAAACGATTTTCACCAGATGTGAGGTGCTCGAACACCAGGAACTGTGGTACCTGTCACCTGTCCAACCTTCACAAATTGTTGTACGCTTCAGTCCGGCTCAAGTTTGGGCCATGATGACGACGACAATGACGACAATGAGAATGAGAAATGACGATGGCCATGATGAAGGTTCTCTGGTTCTATGTTCCAAATTCGTCAATCTCCGCAATATCATGTTCGAGCACCTCGCGACCGGAGCTTGAGCTTCCCGACGTCTGTTCTCCCACTGGAACAGTGATGGGTGCTCCCGTGTCGATGACCTCGTCCGAGCGGTGGAGTGGACGTACAGGGCAGCCCGCGGTGGAGCTGGCCAAAGCTCCCGCTCGCCAAGAGCGATTGCGGTGGCAAAACGTTTTGGGTCCAAGAGGTTGATTGATCAAACCAAGCACCAAAAAGACCCAAACACTCAAGAATTCGTAACCTGGGCGTCTGAATTGCACAACAGGCTCAGTCACTTTCTCCTGGAAACCCAGCACCCGAGCGCAAGAAAAACACCCGCAGGAAGGGTCCAGCCCAACCAGCCAATTGGATGTTTTTTCACAGAGGTTGGTCATGGCACGGAGGGTGATCACTCTAAAAAGAATCACCAAAAATCCCGCAGCGTGGGTGGTTTTCAATCAGATTCCTCGGTGGAAAAACGAGTTCCTTACAAGACCCTACACGTTCCTTCAAGTCACCACAACTGGCTACATCCCTAGTTGCCTGAAGCCAGAAGACCATCTTTGAATGTCTATCTCCGTTGCAACCAGTACAGTAAATGCTTGTTCCATCTGTCCCGGTGGTTTTTGAAAGCCCGGTGAGATCTGGCACGTCGACGTCGCCAAAACCGGGCACCTTCTGCCCACGTGTCAGGCCATCAGTACCATCCATCGCGATGGTGCGCACCATGTTCTCGCCTGGCCATCCGGCCATGGCTGTTCTCGCTGTGTACGACGAGAAAAGCCAGAATATGCACCGTGCCAGCACTGAGCACTGAGAGGTTTGAATCCCTTAGAGGAGACCGAAACTTCATGCAGGGAGAGAAAGCTTCATCCTGGATGAAAGGACTAAAATAGGCTAGATTCTAGATAGTAGATAGATATAACTATATTATATATTTATGCAACAGATAGCAAAACACTTTCTTTTTCTCGACCTGTCGACAACCTCACCCCACTGAGGGGGTCGACTGGCCAGCCTAAGTGCTGCGCCACTTCCAAAACCAGGCGATGTTCAAAGCCTTCCACCTGGAAGAACTCCACAACACCGCGCACAACGCGCGTGCTCGGCGGATCCCAACGTGTTCGGCGGACCTGATGATCTTTGGTCAGACGGATCCAGCTGTGCTCATGACATTCTCAGTGCTCAAACGGGATGCTGGTGACCAAACTCAACGGGCGGGTAGCCATCCACCCCAAATCCCTCCACCTCCACCTTTGTCAGTCCCTCCACCTTTTGTAAGGCCTCGCATCTGACGGTCAGACTTGCGTGTTTTTTGTTGGCCATTGTTTCTTCCTTTCGTTGTCAGTTGGCTGTGGTGAACCCCACGGTCGACCGACCGGTTGACCTACCAGGTCTTTCGGTCGTGAAAGACTACATGGCTTCACTGGTTGGGCTGGTGGTACGACCCACAGCCAGTGGGCTTTCCTAATCGAGCTTCTGAACGACCACCCTACCTGGTCGCAGCAGTCCCCGCCATCAACATACCTCTACTGCCAAACATGAATGGAGTATGGGCTATGGGTGTTGGATGCGTGTTGGCTGTGGTGCCATTGAAAATTGGATGGATTTGGACACGGAGAGCTGCGTCGGAAGAACAGTGTAGCAATGTCAAAGTTCAGCATCCCACCTCCAGAGCATTCAGGATGGGTGGCAGGGCAGAATCAAACTGCACCTCAGGAAGGCAGGTCTTGGCTTTGCAGTTCATGTGCATCTCTGTGAACAGGTATGAAACTGAGACAAACTCACTCTGAGACAAGCTCACACTGGCCAGGGGGTCCATGAATGGAAAGTAAACACCAACTTCTTTGTGCTGTAATGTGCGCTATCAAGAAATTCATCTCCAGCTCACACGGGACACCCCTTCATTTAACTTAACCCCATTACAGTAAACCATGTTGGCCTGGCCAACAGTGTTTGCCCCCCCCCACCAAAAAAAGACGTGCCCAGTCGTCCACTTTCTGCGGGGTGGCCCAGTCCTCCACCAATGTGCACTTCTTCTCTTGCCGTTTTTGCTGAGGTCAGGCACGTCCACCACAGCGCCGATCACCTGGGAGACCTTGCCACTGGTGGCCGCTGGTGCTGCGGCAGCGGCCTGGGTGGTGCTGCGTTTTTGGTTCGCCCCTTGCGAACCATCCTGGAAGTGATGCGGGCCTATATACATATCCATATTAATAGTGAGTTGGTGATACATCAAGTGCTGAGGCAAACTTTGGGCGTCTAATTAAAAGTGATCTTGACATATCTTTACATATCTTTACCAATGAATCCTTAAAAGGCCTTCGGTCCATCGGTCTGGCCACTGTGGATTGAGCAGACTTGTGGTGTCAAGACGGTCCGTCTGTCCGCAGGTCGGTGGTCCGGAGACATACCCGCGACTCACGGCGATCAGCAAAGTCTCAGCATTCACCGCATGCCTCAAAACTCCGGACGACCTTCTTTCATCTTCTTTCTCTTCGGGGTCTGGACCCACACCAAAACCCTTTCCATGTGAGGGTCTGGGTTCTTAGGGAGCAGTTTACATAGAAGTGGTATAGTATGAAGTGGTGTGTGTTCCATTTCCCCTAAAAGAGATTTAAAAAAAACGTCTGGAATCCTTCCATCCATCACTTCCTTGCTTTCTCCTTCTGCACGGTCGGGTGTCGGGGTATGTCCGACACTCCGACATCGTTGTAAACCATGTGAAGCATCGACCGTCGCCTCTAGGTTCTCCGTCCAAACCACCAGGGAAACGCCTAGTCGTTTTTGGATGGCCAATAGAAACAGACCACTTTCCCAGATCAGGTTATTATTGTATATATAAATATATGTTAATGTATAATATGCTAAGTATATAAGACTCCATGGTCTAACAAGTTTTTGTTATTGCACCAACGAGCACGGACATCCAATCGTTGCCCAGCTTAAACATGCAACATGTCCTTCAACAAACTGTAGAAACACCTGGATACCGTTCCTCCTGAGGTTCCAACACATGCTTGCTTCCTTCATCTACCAGTCTCAAATGCCATCCCCATCCATCCCCTGCGGTCCCGGAGTCCCCGGCAAAGCGTCGTCCCAAGCCGCGGCCCAGAGGAGGAAAGCGCCACGCGCGCAACGCCTCGACCGCTGAGGGTTTTCTGGGCCAACTCATGTCGCATCTCCCATCTTCACCACTGGGAAACAGCACACACATTGGGTGAAAACACATGAAAACACCAGGCGGTTCGATGAGTTCAGGAAACAAAAAAGAGAACCCTATCACCTGAACCAGCGACGGTATAAATAATGACAAGGCACAACCAACCAAAAAAAATATATAAAAACAAAAACCACATAAAACACCTTCTGACATCATGTGACACTGTGATGGATGGGACAATCGACACAGAGGTTCTTGATGGCTTCCTTCCACAAACTCCGACCGAATCGGCTTCCGCTCAAGACTGTTTTCCGCTTCGCCTGTGGAACCACCATTGCTTCAGACCGGCGCGGACTCCCTTTCAGTGTTGGAGCCAGGCTATTCCGGTCGGAGCGAGGCTACCGGTCGCCGGTGTCAACGCTCAAGTCCAGTGCTGAACCCTTCCCAGCTTCATTAACACAATCAAACAACTCTCAATCCAATATATACCAACAAACCAATAGCCTTGAGTGGCCTTCAGTCATCTGGACAGGGTTGGTGGCATGGGCAGCCCGACTCTCTCTCCCTCTCTCTTTCTCAAAAAAGAAGTAGGACCACTCAATCCACTTCACAGGCAAACCCAGCACCCTTTTGTGTTATGACTCGACATTCTGCAGCTTTCAAAAGCAAGGCTTTGCCTAAACCTCAAACATGAGCTAATCACCCTCGAAAAGAAAACCTGCCAATGAATAACGACACACAGACCCCAGCTGAAGCAGGCGTGCTGCCAGACCAGGGGGATGGGCATGGGCCTACGACTCTGGGAGGTCTCCAAAACGACACCGATAGGTGATTGAAGTGCCAAACCAGCCAGACCAGGTGTTCAATTTCGTTCTTATTGGAAGCAGACGTTGAAGTGGAACCTGTTCGTTTTTGAAGTGGAACTTCCCCCCAATTGGTTCCACTTCAACCTGTTCTATTCCACTGGAGACGACCCGAAGGTGTTTTTCTGTCGCCAAGGCCTAAGGTCTCCAGACCTTCGAAAGTGTTGATTACACACTCGAAATACCACAACCTCTTGCAAAGTGCTGGTAGAAACCCGCAGAGGAAAAACATCCAATCCCTATGTCTGGCAAAAGTAAGTGAAGCCTTCACAAGCAAGTCAGCTAACATGGACCCTGATTCCCCATCACGAGGTTCTTCTACGAACCAGTGGTTTGGTGGTTTGGGGGAGAAACATCGACCACCACATTCGGCGCGACCTCGGCCGGAGGCGAAAGATGATTGCGACCACCCTTTTACCAGGACGACATGGTCTTCACAAAAGAGTCAAAAGAGTGCTCAATATAGGGGCGCTCGTCTTTTTTCCTCATGGCCCAACAGAGAAGCTCCAGAGCGCAGAGCCAACCTCAGGAGGTCCAGGGAGTTTGAGGAGGTTTGCAGAGGTTCAGGGTGTTTCTATCCACCATGACCCCCACTTCCCAACAACCGCGAGCTGAAGCATGGTCTTTTCGGAAAAATGTGCAAACCTGTCAGTCAAGTCAACATCAGAAAGCATCCCTTCGTTCAGGCCTGTTGAATTGCCTCTTGGTGCCAAACCATGGAACACTCCGCTGCAGGACCCTCCAAGTACTCCGCATCGCATCGACTACAGGGCTGTGGTGTTCAGGATGTGGATGTATATAATCGACAAATCGATGACGCTGTTTGGGCGTCCGAATCTACAAGAGTTCCTAAACAAAAAAAGAATACAAGTGGCCAGTCTAAGACACAAACATCTGTCTAAGACACACGCATCATCCCTCTGGGTGCCTCCCTCTGGGTGCCCATGCCCGTTCAGCTTGCTTGGGATCATGGGTGGCCAGAATAATGCAGGAATCTTTGCCTGTCTCTGCGGTCTTTTGCGCAGAAGAATGGCAGGGAATGGCTCAAAGCGCCCCATCGGACCGAAGGTTCCGTCAGGAAGCTTGTTCTTCGGCCTTTTCCTGGACCATCCAAATCATTCCAAATCCACCTTCCGTTTGGCTGGCCGCAACAAAAAAGAAACACAACCATAATCGGTAGAAATCGGTCGAATCGCCCCCGATCGCCGCTGTCGTTGCTCGGTGCAAGACTTCGATCGGTGCAAGACCCCCGTCTCGCCGGATGGTTCTCCACGGTTCACGGGGCAAAACGACCGCGCCGTGAGAGGTGTCTCGCCTCGTTTCTGAAGCACCTCCTCGACCAAACGCTTGGACGCCTCCGGCAGTGAGACAACCGACGGTCGACTCGCGGTCCGCTGGCTGACCGTGCATGAGGCGTGCATGGTGCAGGTGTGAGATAAAAGCATTACTGAAGTGCAACAAGAACAGGAACAAACACCAAAGCCAACTGATTGACGGATTGACTATAATATTGTTAGAAAGACTTCTTGCCATCTGCTTTTGCATAACGGTTCTTGGAGATTCCGCAGTTCAACCACCCTGGCATTCCGCAGTTCAATCGACAACTCAATGCTTGGAGGGTCTCCTTCCAAGTGCACATGGCGAAGCTTCAGCGCGGCTTCCGCTTCAGGTGGCCGAGCTTCCGGGGGCGACCGACTCACGGCCGTGGCGGCAGGGCCGTGGCGGCAGGGCCGTGCTTCCTTCAAGTATATCCGAGTCGATGATAGAAAAGGCGTCCTGGGTTGATCAAATTTTTCAACCAGGTGGCGAGCCGGTTCCGTTCGGGGTCGAGGTCGACCTCCGTAAAGGGTCCTCTTTCAACCGCCGGGCCCTGAGGGCACGCCCATCGCCGTCGACCCGTTGTCGCCTCATCCAGCGCGCTGGTTGGCTCGTCCAAGACCAAACAGGCTGGCTCGGTGGCCATGGCCTCAGTACGCGTAGGATTCAGCAAGGGCGCGTAGGATTCCGCGGCGTGCGCGTGCTAAGCACCGACAGCTGGTCCTCAAGGAATAGAGAAACAGTAGTTGAAACCCATCAACTCGGGTGTACTCTAAACAAAGAGTGGTGGCACTCACCAGTTCATCTTCGATTCCTCGTATCAGAATGGTGGTTGTTCAAATTGTTTCAAGCTAATAGGCCATATCAAGAAACCGTCTCAATTGAGTCTAAAACCAATCATGCTATCCTACCCAAATCGTGTTCAATCTTAAACGGACATCTCCTACCTAGCGCTTCCTGTCTGGGTGTCCTGTCTGGAGACCATCCGAAGCAGCTGCCTGGGTTGTCCAGCCAGGCTACCCGAACGGAAGCGCCAGGTACATACCGGTCATTACTTGGAGTTGCTCAAGGACAAATAACTATTCCCCAGAAGGGCTGTCGCCCATTGAGACAATAAATACAAATTCACCTGTTCGTTCAGTGAATTTTACCGTACCATTTCCCCCTGGGAAATTACCATTTCAAATTAAGCTCGACCTCATGGACTCATTGGTGGGGTTTGTTTGAGAAAATTGTATCATGACAATTCTACAAATGAATTGTATACAATTGCACGCCACGGGTCGATTTGACCTCACGCCTCACGCCAGCCCCGCACGCACATCACGGGGAACATCATCCGTCGGCAGAGTCTCCCCGCGATGGCGAACATCATCCGCTGGCTTTCGCCGCCAGAGAGCTCGGACCAAGGCCTAAGCCCAAGCCCCACAACTCATGTCCCTGGCACCCGTATAGCAAGTATATCAAGTTATATTTATATTTATAGGGTCTAATGGGGATTGTGATCCCCTGTCACTCCCTGAACCCCTCACTTATGTAGCCGTCACTTCATGAACTTCATGCCTGATGTTCTGATGATTTCTTGTATGACTGATGTTCTGATGATTTCCTGTATGACTTTGCACCAAAAAGAGTTCACAAGGACTCCAGGTGTGCAACTGTTTTGTTTTCAAAGAACGAGCCTGATGAACATGCTGGTCGAGGTTTTGGCTAAGTTCCTGCATGTTCCTGCATGGACCTGCACGAGATTTAAGTATTCATCGTTTTGCATCGTTTTGCAATACTTGGCGTGTTTTAAGCAAGGTGAGGATGCCAGCTCTGGTGGTGCTTGAAATGGTACTGAAAATCCGCAGCTGTCCGCTGCTACCCTGATTCGAAACGGTCGGTGGACTCCGGCCCATGCGAAGAAGTCGGGCCCGTTCGGGCAAAAAATACAAAAAAAACTGGCCCTGGAAAAATAAAAATTAAGGCACCCCCTGTGTCCAAGCATTGCAGGCATCCCCGTATGGTAGTTTAAGTCTTGTTTCGACTCTTGATTCTTGATGCTGCTTGTTTGGGATTGGTACTTAATCTGACTCCCTCAGTGTGACTGGAAAATAAGGGTGCAGGGTCAACTGCACTTTCCACCTGTTTGCCGTTGTTCTTTTCGCTATCCCATTTAAATGTCCCTAAACCGGTGACCTGCAGGCTGTCTCACTTGTGGGATTGACGGTGGTGAACTGGTCATCGTCTCTGGGCCGCAGCTGGGCCCCGGAACCGCTCCAGAAGGCTCTCGTCTAAACCTGCCGCAGCTGAAGAGCAGCGCCGATGATCAGTCCGAACAGAACCTCTCGAGGGTGTTCGGACCATTCTCAGCATGTTCGGACCATAGATATCCATTTGTTTCCACTCTGAAATCTATATACTGTAGTTCTTCTTTAAAAACAAAAGTAGGCAAACACTGCCAGCTCTTAACTGTGCCAACAGTGTGGTTCGGCTGCGCGCGCCTGCTTGGGTCTCAAACATGAAAAAACAATTTAAAAAAAACGCGTGACGGACGGCCCAGGTTTCTGGCCGCGTTGGACGGGCGTCCTCGCGTGCGGAATCTCCATCCGGTTTGGGATCCTTTTGGGGGCGGAGGGCTCCGACCCCACCAACCGGTGACCCGAAGTCCTCGTCCTTGCCCGGTCTCTTTCGCCAGTCCGACTCGTCCGAGCTCCCCGCCTATGGATTGAAGCAATGGCCTCAGAAAGAAACCCGCCGAGCTCCCTGTGGAATGGGTGTTTGAAGTTCTAACCGTCCTGGTGCGAAAAGAAACCGATCTTTCACATCGAACAGACCTCCTGATTGAGGCTGAAAAAAAAGCAAGCGGTCCAAGCTGCGTTCATGCCGATCTCCTGGCCTACCAGATGCTCAGCTTGAGGTGTCCTGTTGGCCCAAGAACGTTGTCCCACCCTCTTGGCCTTGATTTGGAGACGTTGTCCATGTCCCATTTGGTCCCTCTGACAAGAACGCAACCTTTGAACCTTAAACTCGGATCATTATCAGATCCTATAAGAACATGTGGCTGTCTTATTATAGCTACAAGGATCTATTTTGTGCTTGGTTTCCGGCAGTCTCCCATATACGTTGCATACGGAGTCACTCCGCTCAACTACACCGTTCGTGCACCTACCTCATTCGTTTGGGTGACCTCTAGCAAAGAATAGCTAGCCAAAAAATAGACATCAACAACCATTGAATCTAAAACCATCACGTCACAACCATCATAATATAATTAACAGACGATCCAAATCAGTAACCGTCAAAAAAACAAACATTCTCCACGCGAGCTTCTGAGCCCCCACCACGTCTCACCGTTGAAAAACACATCTCGGCTGTCCCGCGGGAGGGGCAAGGCGTTGCGCTGTGCATTCACCCAGAGCTTCGAGACCACCTTACCAGCCGGCGCCCGAAGATGGCCTTTTGATGGCCCAGTGGCACTGAGTCGCCACGGCAAGCATTTCGACGGATTCTGAGGGTTCCAAGTGGATCTTCAAGGAATTTCTCGATTTTACAAACGGCATGATGAAGACAGCAAGACATGAGCAGCATGCTGCTGGTCATAGGGTCCCCTGCTGCAATTTCTCACCAACTTTGAAACTTATTCCGATGGAGAGCTTGTCAATCAATTCCCGCACTGGAAACCCACTAAGTAAATCGCCAAAAACAATGTTCAACTTGGCAAGCTTGCACGTTAAGTTTTACCCTGAAATGGAAGACGCACTTGCTTGGACCTTGAGAAATTTGTGGACCAGACACGAAGACGCAGAGCAGCATTCACCAAGAGGTTTCCGTCTTCCGTCCTGCTTCCCAATCCCATGGCCTGGGCAAACGACTTTGGAGTACCAGGCAGTGGCGCTTTGATCTGGTGCAAATAGAGGACCTCAGTTTTGCTGCTTTTGCAAAGTCTGCTCCATTAATTGGAAGGTCCTCCTGAAAACTAAATAACACTACGATACTGTAAAATTGACCACCAGAAAACGATGTTGCAAAATTACCCAACATGAAGACGGGAAGCTCTGATTCCGTATTTGGCAGGAAAAGACAGGGAAGTGACAAAAGTCATCTACCAGTACCAGCACATTGGTCCACAACCCCCAATGGAAACAATATATAAAGGTATTTGCAGCACAATTACTGCATCCATTGTCATGGCGGTGCCACCCATGTGATGAGAATGATTGCAGGTTGTGAGGCAAGTCATTGAGTGTGACTGTGTGTGTGTGTTAAACCCTTGGAGATCCTTGGAGTCACAGGGATTCCGTTGAATTGGTTTTTGTTCTTGGACTTGGTTCACAGCAGGGGGGCAGCAGGGAGTCCACAAGTTCTGCTGCCAACGAAGACAGCCGTGGCTACTCCGTGAAGCAGATTGGGACGCCAATCTGTGCACCTGCTTTCTCAAGTGTGATGTTCTGTAAGTACCTCCTCTTCTAATTGGACAGGCTGTTTAGGTGAATCTGAGGTCTGCAGACTTGCGCACGTCGATCGCTCGGGTTCGGTTGGAAACCTTTGAGCAGTTGGATCTGGTTGAACTCCGCTCCATTTTTACCTGGACCCTTAGGCGTTTTACTTAGCCTGGCGTGTGGCAAACCACAATCGAGTCAGTACGCATTTTCTTGAGTGTGGGTTTTTGTGTATGTCGTCTATATTGTAATATATTTATATACATATATATAAATGGATGTCACAAAATACATCAAAAAAACAATCTGCCTGAACCGTTCAACCAGCAGATGCGTCGAACTTCCAACAAACGGCATGTTTAGACCAGAAATCTAGAGTGCCATGGAAAAAAATATTGAATTGGCAAAACGCGTTTCTGCCAGAGTTACTCTACGACCAAGCATGGATCCTATTCTCGGGGGATTTGGTCACTTCTCCACCACGTGAGCCCGATGAGATTGTGGGTCCATGATCCATTTTGTGGCAGGCTGCCCTTTGAATCCACGGAACCATCTTGTAGTCACAGCCTACAAACATGTGGTTGGTAGCAACCAGCTTATAATGTGTGGTTGGTTCTTTTGTGGATCATCTTGTAGGGGCAACATGTTGGTGCCACAACCGACAACCCTGAGCAGCACACCTCCCTTCGCCAGTGTTGCGGCCTGGGCGAATGTCACTTGCGTGAACAGTGCGGCAAACTTCCCCGGGCTGAAAGAAAGACTGCGTAAAATAAAATAATGAACTATTGTTGCATGAAAATCGCAATGTTCAGCACGTACATGTCTGATGTGTTTACATCTTCCAAGCTGTTTACGCCGAAATCCCCCCGCGTTTGCAGAAATGTTCGTTTCACTACAGTTGCATGCGAAATCATGCGAACTGTCCTGCTTTTCTTGAACATCAAAAGCCAGCCACGTTCGGGGCAAAATGTGTTTTCACAGCAGTTTTCAGGGCCAACAACTTTACTGGGGGTTGTTGCAAGGTTGTTTTCCATGTGAAACTTCTCCTCTTTCGGCTCAGGCACCCCGACGAAGAGATCTCCTGTCCACGCAGGGTCCTGTTAGGGCAAGGGGACAAAAACCTCGTCTTAAGTGGAGAGAGCAATAATCCACAAAACACGGCGTGTCTATGACTGGCATATTGGCATACATTGGGGTGGTTGTTTCAGGGGCCAATGCATGGCACATACTCCAGTCCCATGGAGTGTTTGGGAAAGGGAAGTTGAGGGAAGTTGATCTTCTTAACTTCTTGCCCCACTTTTTCGCCTCAGGCCGGCTATGCGCTGCCAGAAAATCTACCGTTTCCCGATCGTTGTCCACGTCGGATTTGCTCTCCAGGAAGCTGGGACGAAAATATCACATCTTCCCCAGGTAAGGGGATTCAAATATGCAGTACTCAAGGTGGTCGCCCTAAGGCAGGGCATCTGACCAATTTTGGCACAGCATAACAAACCGCATGTGTTTGGGAAGCACGCATGACCCGATCCGCAGCCATGCGCCAGCCAGGCCAGAATGGTCAAGTCTCAAGTGTCCAAATCAAAGTCCTTACGCGTCTGCCGACATCTGCTGACATCTATCATCTATCCTTCTGCTTTACACTGCATCGAGAGTGAAGCAACAATTCCGGCCATAATAGATCATATTAGATCATAATAGTGTCTCCTTGTGCTTCCTATGACCACCATCAAATCAACCACGAACCAATAAGGCTTACCCAATAACCAAAACCGCATGATGAGTTCCGCACTCTACTCTCTTCCACTATCTTCCACTCACCTTCAGATGGCGCGGAACCCGGGACCGTTTCCCCAACTCTCAGTCCGTTTTTCGAAGCTGCGCCCTTGGAGAATAGATCGGTGTTTCGTTTCGCTCCGACCACCCGCTTTCAGGGCCGGATATGTGGGGTGGCAGAGTTTTCCCCGATCGCCAACCCCTGCCACCCGGGGCTCTTGGGGGAAAACTCTCCGGGGCGGATCAAAGAAGAAGAGCGGAGTTTGGGTGTATCCCATTCCCTGTAACAGTGGATGATGATGGTTAGGTTGCAGCCCTTTTGTCAAAAATAGTGATAATCCTTTATTGATTGTTACAGGTCATGCAACACACGCAAAGCAGAGTCTTCTTCTTGGGGTTGCTTAGAGATCAGAAGACCCTCCGCCCACACCGGACCCGACCACTCTATGGCGCCCCGTCGAGAGCCTGGAGCCCCAAACAGAGGCCGAAAGGTCCGCGATCCACTTCCTGGGGCCGAGCGGTTCGAGTGGTGAAAGCCATGGGTTTGACCACTGGAACAGGGCGTTCGTTGGGATAGATGGGCACCAAGCACCATGCAAATCCCCATCCAAATATCAAACATATTCCAAAATCATAACATATCATAACCATTCAAAATCAGCCATGCTTAGGCCATGCTGGCCGTTCTGGGAGTCGTTTGCTCTAAGATTTCAACTGCAAACAATGCACTGGTTTGAAATAACCTGGGGTCGTTAGTAGATGTTGGCTACACCCTAACATCTTAATTTATACTTGATATTGATGGTCAGCAAAGGGACCAAGGGACTTCACCAACGGGTTCAACCAAAGATAGTTCAGTTTCGCAGGATGGCACAAACCCAAAGATGTCTTTGGATGTCTCTTGTATAGCGGTCCATAGTAACAACCTTTTTGGGAATTGTGCCATCTACTCTGAAACCACTGTAAATCAGGATTCAAGCCTTTTTGAAAAAATCAAGTTTCAAGTTGTTTCAGCTGCGGAGAGGAAATTCAGTGCTTGCCGAGAAGCAAGATCGTTGATTTGCCCGCACCGCTGGGCCCCATCATGCAAAGGACCTGCACCACCGGGCGTTGTTCGGCTCGCAGCGCCCTCCCTCTCACTCTCGCTCTCCCTCTCTTCAACTTCAAGATCGTCATGTTCCTCCACAACTCCAGTGGGATGGCCACATGAGCTCGTAGCAATGATGTTCTAACACTAGAGTCACCAGAGTGTAGCCTTGCGAGGAAGCCAAGTCCCAAAGGTCTCAAAACGTCATCAGCCGTCACCAAGCTCCCAACCTCCCCATCGTGGACCTTGAAATGCACCTGGCGATGGTGGAAGCTGCGGCATGCGGCCGTCTGTCTATTATGGTGTGCAGCTGAGATGAGAGATCCCAAGACGTTCGTTGGGTTACAGCATATATATATATACCGCATATATATCATATATATATATACAGATATGTGTATAGTTGTATTGTGTGATATAGTATTATATATATATTATATCATCATATATAATCATATATATATGTGTGTTGAAATTCCCAGTTGTTCCTCTCGTTTGCTGCACTACTAGGACCTTGCTACATAAGTCTGTTCGAGGCCATCAGGGTGACCCAGCGAAGCACGGCAGCTTTCTCTGCCTTTTGGACAGTCCCGCTAGTGGCTGGGACGAAAAGGAAATCATCGGTTTTGGGGTAATTACATATGATGGACTCAAGGCATCTCATCAACCCAATCACCTCAAAGAATGAGTGATCTCCTTCAACCTCCCTGCACTCGCTTTGGCTTCACCTTCCCTTCTTGATTCTTCCTAGGTCCAAAGGGGTCTCCTGTTCTGAAAAAAAAAAAGCCACAGCAGATTGACTCATCCCAAGATACGGCATGACAGCAGGCTTCACTGCTGTTCAAAACACAGCAACATCGCATGTGTATAACAAAACACAAAGCAGAACCAAGCGCATCCCGGAGGCAAGAGTTTCATGCAGGCACTTTGGGTCACTAGGTCACTAGGACCAAGGACATACGACCAATCTGAACGAGTTTTGCACACATGGTGCGTGCGTCTCAACAGAGATTCCAAACCAGTAGTAGGCGTTCTTCCAGAACTTCTACTGGGATCTACCGGGAACCTTCGACAATGCCGGTCAGCAGCACCCTCCAAAACCTGATCCTGGCCTTGAGCGGGCGCTGCTTCCCCACCAAGCCCTCCAGTGGCAAATCCAGGATGAGACCGCCTCGCGGAGGATCTGCCCCGGTAGGTGAGACAGAACACATGTCCGGCTCTCAGATCCCAGCTGCTTTTCATCCAGCTGCATACCACCCCTAGGGATCCAAGTACCTTGTCAGAAGGTGATGGGAGACACTGTTATGTAACTTTGGAGGGTCCAGTCGACTCCTTCCTAGCTTCGGTGCGACTGGATCCCTAAAGCTGTGGTACCCAACGAGCAGCTTCGGTCTTCACACCCTAAGGCCCAGCCCAGACCTTTACGATGGATCCGACGCATTTATTCGGAGAGGACCAACCCGAACCATCCCAAGACATGCGGTTTGTGAGCTCGACAGCGTCTGGCGATTGGTCGGCCGAACCGATGGAGGGGGAATTGGTGTAGGTTTTGAGGTCCCGGTGGTTGGGGATCCTTGGGGCATAAAAACACCAAAGGAGGCTAGTCCCAATCGCACCGGCTTTGCATGGATTAGCCATCCTTTACCCATCGGAATTCACCGATCGTTGTAGTTCAACGAACCGCGGCCGAGAAGTTCTCAACATCCTCCCAAACACCGCGCGCTTTCCTCCGTGCGCTCTGCCTCCATCCTTCGATTTGTCCCAGGTCTTCTGCAAGGCCAAAGGAGAAGCCGAGCTCAGCGCCACAGACAGGTTGGTCCCGTTGCAAACCCCAACGTGGGTGGCGAGTTGCATAGCCAGAGGGGGTGGGCTGTGAACTTCGGAGCACCAAAGAACCATGCGGGTCTGGTCATGTCTGGTCACGTTGATGAAACTTGTACTCTATTCCTGCTTCCCATCGGGGTCACCAATGGACAACCCTAGACTACCTTGCATAGGTCTGCAGACAGGACGCCCCTTCAACATCATAAGCGCTTAGTTGACTCATAAGTGGAAGAAAATGGCGAGTCAAAACCAGGAGACCTTGGTTGAACCTACCGACATGAACGGGATACCTTGGCTACGTCTTGATGTGGCGATGGACGTCGGTCCCGCGAAAAGCGACCACCAGGTCGGGGAGCGTGAGAAAGAGCCGCAGCCGGTCGATCGGAGAGCGATCCGGTGTGGGAGACGGGGTTCTCATCCCGCTGCGGGATGAGCCCCGGACAGATGAGCTCCCTGAAAGACCCCACCGGTAAGGAGTAATGATGCTTTCTTGGGACTTCTCTTCTATTAATAAGTTCTGATTGTCTTTTAAATTTGATGTCTATCCATTTGCCAATGTGTAATTGAGAATCAGGCAAAAATACACGGAGATTACATAGACACAACATACACCAACTCGTCCGGTCCCTTCAGGTCGCGAGCGACTCAGCCAACAAAGGCGTGGAGGTCGCTGGCACGGCCTGCATATGGCCGTTCAGCACTTGGCCTCAAACTACCCTCAAGCACTTGGCCTGCAAAGGTATAGGAGGTGAAAACTGCTTCACTCAGTTTTGCAGTCCAAACTCTCTGGTGACATCGTTGTGGGACTCAGCGCTGTCTAAAACAGAATAGATAATGATAGAACAGTATCTCTGCGAGAACCATTGCCGCTAGGCATGATCGTCATGATTCAGAACATCACCAAAATGCCAAAAAGAAAAACCGGTCCGTTTCCTGGGTGCGTTCTGCTTTCATCTGATTTCCCAGTCCAAAACCACGGAAACGAGGGGTCGGCCGGCCTGGGTCTTCCGACTCGGCCACTTGCTGAAGTCCAGCCTCCACCGTTTGGACCGCACAGATGGTGCGGTAAAAAACACCAGGTGGTGTTCTATTTGAGATGAGTTAGAATCGCTCGAACTTATGGCATCTCATCTGTTGTTGGTTTTTTTCTTCATAGATTCAATGTCCCAGGCCTTCCATGGGGCCTGCAACACAGTAATCACATCATGAAACATATTATAGGAGAATCATGGAGAATCATAGAATCTATTCCAGGGTATCCTTCGTCATTTCTGCTGAAATGGTCATGTCAGACTGGCTGATGTTCCTGCTTTTTGGCTGGCGCTCTGAGATGGGGTGCTCAGAAAAGGGGGGGTGGAGACCGGTCTCCCAACGAGTCTTCATCGTCCGGCATTGGACGCTTTTTCAAGCAGGATGTGTTGGTTCCCTACACAAACACTCCTTGGATACCCTTGAAAGCCTGGCCCACCATTGTTTTAGTGGGTCTTGAGTCTTGACCAAAGATTTCCATGGTTTGGAGTTTGAACGGATGTTTTACTAAGGATTTTAGACCACAAAACCAGGTCATTCCCATTCTTTCAATGCTCGAACTAAAGGCGGCCAGATGTACTGCATGGTCTTCCCCACAGTGAAAGGATCAGACTCGGCTCAGTTCTGATCCATCAATGTGTGTGGCAGTGATGGATAGGTTTTTCCGGATCGAACTCGGGTGATCCAATGATTGGCTCGTGAATTCGATTCTGCACAACCCAACCACGACGAATCGACCTGTCTGGGACTGGCATAGGACTGCCTATATACATTGGGGTGGTTGAAAAGGGGTCAATCTATTTCTTCCACACATTGAGTGTCTAGGCTACACAAGAAGATTTCTGACAATCCCGACTCCTCTGTTCAGGGAGTCTATCAATCCTTAATCATTAAGCAACAAAAGCCAAAAACACTGTCTCGCTGTTTTCACCCAAAAAGGTCACCTCAAAAAAGGATCGAAGCTGAATCGATCGTGTGCCATTCTGGGTCTGTTTCGCTCAGATCCATCTGGTCTGTTTGCTGCGCTGATCCATCTCTCAGTGTCCGGGCAACTTGGAGATGTTGAGCCTTGACTGCGGCTTCACCTCGAATGACGACGACGACTCCGCGACTCGACTTCACCACCGACCACGCGACTCGATGACCACCACGTCGCGACCAGGTGTAGGAAGGGAGCATCGATGAGGTACTGAGTGAATGGGATTTCGCCCAAAGAGCTGCTGGTTTAGTGCCCACACAAACAATGAAAACATGAGAAGCCCAGGTCGATATGTAGGTTCAGGGCGGGAACAAAGCTCAATGCGTGCGGTGATTTGCATCAAGTATCCGTGCACACATGCAAGATCGTGCAAGCCTTCTTTGTCTATTTGTCTGACTTGAACACCCATCTTTGTGATCCTTGTTTTTAATATCTTGTTACAATTGAGATCTGACAAGTTGGGTAAAAGCCAAAGGCCAAATTCATTAATTATATATCATAGTGTTTGTATGAGTTCACTATGTTTTTACATAAAATCGTTTTATACAATCGGCAAAAAAAAATCAAAGAGCATTTAAAAAAATGACCTCTGGACAAGAACCATGATTAAATATCCACATCATTTCGATAAATCGTTCAGAACATGTTCATATGTGTTTCAAACAGTTTTCATGAAAATTATGAAGTATTAATGAACATCTATTTAGATAATAAACACTATGAAAGTGATATGGTCGTTTTTTTATGATTTCAAACCGATGTGCTGTGTTTTTGTTTCAACAGTTATATGTGTTGAAAAGTGTATGAAACAATGACATACTCATGCAATCGTACATGTTGCGTCCATTAAAAGAAAAAAAACGTACAACAAGATCCATCTTGAAGTGCCTCTTTTTAACCAACTTGATCTAAATGCTAGATAGTTTCCTGCATATCCACAACTCTGTCTGACTACTGGGCCAAGCACCTCGCTATCATCATGCCGACCTCGCTCATCAAAAAATGCTTGGATGGTGAATGCCTGAGTACGCAAGTGGGTGGAATGTTCGAACCAAGCAATTGTCAAATCTAATCAAATCATCTTCGCATTCCACAACACTCACAGCTGAAAGCCAACGATATTCTAACTTGAGCTTTGTGGTTTGTCTTTTCCACTGGATTTCACATCTGTTGACTTTCAGAACCACTGCGGAACCCGCACCCACACGCTTTCCACAAGACTGAGGACAAGAACCAGAGACATGGCATGGAACGGTCTAAGACGGTCGACAGAACGCTGAACCGCTGCAACCCCTTCCGCCGCCGGCTACGCGCGTCGCACGGCGCGACGCGAAGGTCCGGTGGCTCGACGGAGCGGTCCGGGCGCCCGGGCACAGATGAGGCACAAGGCAGCGAAGGAGCAGCCGGAAATGAGGAAGGTAATGACCTAAAGCAAAGCCGTTGAAGACTTGGTCTTAGGGAAGACCTCCCAGTCAACGTTTGGTGCCGGGTTGCAGTTGAGGCGACCAGTCTACCCAACGAGGGCCGGGGCGAGGGCGGGGGGGTGTTTGTTGCTCGATTTGGATTCGGTGAACCGAGCGAAATGAGCCGATCACGACAAGACAACAATAGCTGGCTTGAGATAACTCATTGTTGCAAAGGGGTCGACGGTCTATGCCCCGCTGATGTAAACCCCAAAGATGCTTTGATGGCAGTCCGGACGATCTTTGCAGTTGAAAAAGCTTAATTACCAAGTCGCCTCTCCCATCTGAAATCGTCTTCATGACCATTCCACCACACCAGTCGCAATATCGATCTGCACCCGTCCTCCGTTGTCCAAGAATGTCCAAGAAAGCATGTCAACTTCAGCAGACGCTGTGCAGTGCCTCGCAAAAACATATAATTAATTGCAATCTGAACAGTGAAAGACCGTTCAAGGCTCATCTTTCTCGTGTGTCTCCTGGGCTGTCCTAGGCTAGCTGTCGGGGTTGGGGAACATCCGGGTACGTCGCTCGAGCAGTTACGGCGACCCCCCGCTACCTCTTAGACCGATGGAGACCCCAGCCGCGACGGTCCCGCTTCCAACGATCGGGCTCCACCGACTCCTGAGCTTTCGGACAATCTGATAGCGGGCAGCTTTCATGGGGGGTGCGCCCCCGAGAATCTGCCCTGTCCTCAGTCGACTGGTCGACAAGCAGAGAGGGACGAAGACCAAGTTTTCTAGGGCAATTCTTACCATGACTTGAGAAAGGGAAACACGAAAGGTAGAGTTGTACCAGGTGATCGGCTACCTGATAGTGATTGGTTGTTCCCTCCAAGGATGTCATTCCTACTCGATGCAGAAGTGGAGTGCGGCTGAGGTCATAAATAAGGCCAGGTGCCAGGGATGGAAAAGGCAAAAAAAAGCGTCTCAAACACTGGCAGCCGGCGCCAATGCTGCGCTACTGCCTGCTACGACTCATCTCTTTCTCACTCTGAGCGGCATCATTCCGGGGATGGACACCAGGCCGACCACATTCATCCCATTGATAGCAGGAATCAATGCAGCTTGCACACTCTTGACCTGGGTCAAACGTGGAGGCCCCGCCCATATGTGCGATGAGACCAGCAGTGAGTGGTTGAAATCAGCTACAAAAGCCTCATATATATAATAAAAAGAATCTTTTTATCGTCTTGGAATAAGACCTACAGATCCTCCTCTAGCAATAGCCACATCCAAACCGTGTTAGTGTAAGAAGGTGCTTCGGAGATGTTCCAAACAATGGGAATCTGTACCCTCCATCGGCCGCATCCATGGAATCGGAACCATGGTCCCTACGAAAGGCTGTGCAATCCACAGGGCTGTTTTCCACTTCCATGATTGGAGGGAGGTGAAGCCGCAAACCCAAAAACGTGTGCCTTCAATCACCAGGGGATGGCACATCAAAGGGTGTCTCACTTCATATTTCAGATGCGATCTTCCGATCCGAAGACCCTTTCATGTCATTAGTGTTCTATTGTGTTCTATGTTTGGTCGAAGAAAGACATGAAAAATTCGGCTCATGCAGCCACTGAAACATGCAAGAACATGGTTTCGGAATACCGATCCAAGAAGGATGAGAACGTGAGCCTTGTAAACAACACCTCTACTCCCTACAGCAAAAGAACGATGTATTGCAGTTCGGACTGAATGGCATCTTTGCAAATGCTGGGCAACATACACCCCAATATCTCCACAGTTCAATCCGAATTACCATGCATTCCCTAATCAACCATGCTGTTCCCCTGCCCTTAGAAGGCGCGGCACCCTTTTGCAAACCTGCGTTGTTCAGCTGGCGAATTGTTCCACAAAGGGATTCGATTCGGTGACCCCTGTGGACATTCACAGCTTGCCATCAGACGAAGTCTCTTGCCATCAGCGTGTCGATGTCAATGGCGTCAATGAAGTGAATGGGAGGTAAGTAACCCTCAAGGCCCCAAAGGTGCCTGAGTTCCTGGGTAGGATTTGGGTTGCCCACCACCCAGTGACAGCTAGTAGTGAAGGTCAACAAGGAATCCCCATGAACTCTTTTCCGTCATTTAGTGGAGATTTGTGGCTGGTGAGATAACCTAAGCTGTGATTGGGTTGCTTGGAGAGTACCTCACAGGTAAACCTGAATCTGTTGAAGCAAAGGTCCATCAAATTTGAATCTCAACTTGAAGCCATTCTAGGAGCCGCCCGACTTCTTCTGCCGCACGGACTCCTTCGCTGAAACCAGAAGATCACGCGCGGAACGGCTTAAACACCTGAAGATCACGCGCCGAGTTTGTGTGCTTGTGATTTTGCACACATGCGCAAAAATGGGGAGTCATTGTGTTGTGTACATATATACTCTATATTCATAATAAGTAATTACACGACCTAGCGTGGCAAAATTCCTTGCAAATCTTGCAACCTTCGGAAGGGGGGCATCTTCGATTCAAGGATAGATACCTTCAAAAACTATAGAATTCTTAACCTACCCTACTCATCCGTAATGTAGAACCGCCTCGGCCCTCCATGACAGGGTCGGACCCTCAAAACCCCATGTGCTTGAGGGCCCGGATGTGCTTGAGGGGCCAGACAGGCGGAATCAGCTTGACACAGAATCGTGAGGAAGCAATATTGCACAACGTTAACATGGGAAACATGGACATGGAACCTGAAACTTGACCTTTGGAAGACTATGTATAGTTTCCGAATACAACCCAGTGTAGTTTTCAGGTTCCGGTCGGGGGGGCTGTTCCAAGGCGGAGGGGTGATTTGGACGCTCAACCAATCAGCATGCAGGATTGGACCCTCCCGTTTCTTGTGACTCTCATCACAGCAAGTGCCACTAGGGAAGTGCAGGAAGATTATTGCGATTGCATATGGCATATGTCTACAATAAGCTCCAAACTCAAAGGTAACTGAGACTGACCTGCTTGTGATACGGTTGTATCATAGTTGATCAATACTCGATACTAAGCATCCGGACGTCAGGATTCGGCAAACAATCCTGCTGTGTATATTTATACTCAAGGGACCAAGACACAGTCTTGTAGAGTAACCAGAATATCGTATGCTCTGGTGTGACTACTTGACTCCCACATGTATGCGCCGAAGCATATGAGCGGCTCCTCTGAAAACACCCAAGCATCACACACGCTTGGATGTCCGGGAGTGCAATGAGGAAGCAAAAGAGAACACTACATGGATGGAATCATGATGGACAGATTCTGACACGCTAACTAGTGGCTGCTCTTGCTGATGGTGAGACAGCAGTGTATTGATGCAACTGCAAGTGGTTGGCGTGTTCAAGTAGCTTCAAGACACACTCTAGATGCTCACAGGTCACCTTCTTCCCACGGAAGCTTCTACATGCAAACAAAACAATGGCCTATGTTTCTCTCCTATGGCCCGATTAGGGTGAGCAAAGCTTGCAGTGTGACCCAAACCAGTGATTCATCATTCATCAAAGAAAATGAAATCGTTCGAATTGCACGTCCCCGATCCATCGGTCGCTCTCATCCTGCGTATTGTCTGTGCCGTTTGACACGGCGCAGCTGTGAATCTGGAAGGAACGACACTGTACACGTTGGGCTCGAACGCTCCATGTCCACAGATTTCACTGCATTGGAACTCCAAACGAAAAGGCTCGGAACGGGGTCAGCGATGGCAAAGGCTGGGATCAGAAGGTTAATAACAGCTGAATACAAAGAACAAATACCTCCTCCAGTTAATATCATTACCCCAGTTGAAAAACTTGGGGTGCGCATTGCAAGCAGCACCTCCCTACTCGCACAGAGTAGTGGCATACTTGGCCATGCGCACGGAGGCTGGAGGAATTCGGGAAGATATCAACAGGGTGAGCAAAGAGGCATTGTCTTTCAAAGCAGAAAAGGAACAGGTTGTCCCAAAGTAGATACAAACAATGATCCAATGTCCATTACATTCATGCTTCAAAGGGATTCCATGTTGAATGAACTTGATGTCAGCTGAACAGCTGCTTTGCTCAGGCCGCGGCCTATTCAGTCCTTTTCATCCCAACGAAAGAAAGGATCTTATGGTTTCCCGATAAAGCCAGGGTCACTCACTTCCTGTTGGTTTTCCTCCTCCGCTTCTATGTAGATCGACCAACCCAAAGGAAGCTTCCAAGTTTCCAGTTTCCACTGCCTGCACCCCCACACACACACACACACACCCACCACAGTGTGTTCCCTTGGCTCTGTCTGCTCCCTTTGAGGTGGCCAAAAGCGCGAATCGCGCTAATCGTCAAATCGCGGTGAATTGTTCACTGCGGTCAGCCGAAGCATGCCCATCACATGCGCGACCGCGTTACTAGCGGTCGTTGCTGGGCACCGGCAACGGAAGCCAAGCTGGATCTTTGGCATCTGGTGAGGGATCACCATCTGGTGGCTTGCCTCAGTCGTCAAAAATCCAGTACTGGGTGAACACGCTGGACACCGAGCATGAAGACATTGGACGTGATGGGACGCAGCGGAGGGCGACATGTGAGTTGCTATTTTGTGACAATCTGGGCGATGGCCCAGAAACTCCCCGATGATACATCCTGCACATCCCGACGATACATCATGCACATGTCAAAAACCCGTTGTAAGAGCATATACAAAAATAGTATAATAAATTGGTTGCAACTACAATAAATGTACATGCATCATATATATAAGAGCATTTGAGAAAGTGGGTGATTCTTTATGTTGCCTCCTCCCAGTCCCAGTATGGCTGATTAAAGGTGCGTGCATTTCGTGCGCCAAACATCATTAATGAAACTCAGTAATGAAACCCCACACATGTCTTCTGCAGTTTCATGTCTCCAAACATTTGGGGCTGTCACAGGATTATGGTTGGAGGCCATCGCTACTGATAGGTTGGAGACCATCGCTACTAGGTTGGAGGCCATCGCTAGCAGGTAAAAATATGGTCATGCATAAGACAACGCCTTCAGCACCTTTAGGATCGTCTCTCAGGTGGTTTGTAGAGTTTCCCCCTTTGGACCACTGGCTTGCACCTTCCCAGACTGGAGATCAGAACACCCGAAAACCACCGGGCCGAGTCGCAGCAGAACTTTCCCAACAATGGCAGCTCACAACACCTCGGGCAAACGGTGTGCCGAGTTGGGGATGATTTCGACACGGTGTGCCAAGACCTCAGACCATCGGTGGGGGTGCTGTTTTCGAAGAAACATCTGCAGTTGGTACATGAACCACTCCATCTCAGCTGCCTGGTGCAGCATTTCAAACACTTCAGCCGTTCTGGGAGAGGAAGTTCTGGGACCGCTTGGTGCTCAAAACCCTAAGACCGTCGAAGGCGCAGCCGGGGAAACCGCGTGCGGCGCTTCGGGTGCACGAACCGAGCGGCCCGCGCTACCTCCGAGCGGGCAGATCCGGTCGGGAACGAACAGGCCAAGATGAACAAGTCAGGAACAGCCGAGATGCACAGGTACAGTTAAGATCCCTCCGATCTGTTTCTCCAATACGAACAATATCTGATCTGCACAGGAAGATCCGATACATCTTGGCATTGGCCGGCAGATGGTTGGAAAGCACTCGATGTCACGAATTATGGACATGATTTACTAGAATGGCTCGGCGGACCTGGGATTTCAGAACCAGCCAAAACATGCCAAAACCGTTTCCGTTTTCCACCACAAAGCACCTTTCTCACACAGACGCCGGACTCGCCGAAAACCATCGTCACCGGACTCGCCCGATTTCACCTCCCGTTGCCGTCCCCGGAAACGAGTGACTGCAGTGGGAAGTTGGCTCGACCTGGTGACGTGGAACGGAGAAGACCACGTTGGAAAACCACGTTGGATCCACATGATGGTCATCAAACATGGTCAGTGAAGACTGTCATGTTTTAGCGCTGGAGAACTCCCAAACTGAAGGCACCTAAAACTCAAGACAGGTGCCACGGTGGTCGGTGTCATGGTTCCATGGCCCCGCCCGGGCTCCTGCTTCAGATCCTTTACAGTACCCGGGAAGTGGCTGGGACCTGGCAAACCATCCAGTTGTTTCTGATTGGCACTGGGAATACTCCCAGGAATCTGTCTTTCAATGTCA